AGATACAAGTATCAGCAACATGATATCACCTCTAGGTGTAATCTAAAGATGGATAACATGGAACTTCTTGCCCAGAGACAGAGCCTCACAGACTTAGAAAAGCAACTTCTAATCACCAAGCTATAAGATGTGGGGCATGGAGAAATGAGTTGCTTCAGACTAATATATGCACACTATTAGTTATAAAATAAATGACCAGGACCCACTGTATAACACAAGGACACTTACTCCACACTATAATAACCTATATGGAAAAAACTCAATATGTATTAACAGAAGTGAAACTAGTTGTGATAGAAGGAAAAAACCCACCCACAAGACTGTAATTCACCTATATACTCCAGTTCAAATGATGAGATAAAAACAGCAAAAGCAAGAAAGAAATGCTGACTCTATTTCCCTGAGGACATAGTGACCCGGGCTGGTGTCATCCCTGGAGCCTGATTAGCTTGGGTCCCAAGGCTGGAGTGTCCTGGGGCTGAGGGAGCTGGGAGCATGTAGCAGGCAGTGTGCTCCCACAATGAACCTGGAGTGCCTGTGGCCCTCTAGATACACGTGGGATAATTTAAGGGATTGGAATTAACATATACACATTAATATGTAACAAATAGGTGATCAAAACGTACTTACCGAATAGCATAGAAGTTTATTGAACACACTGTGATCGTCTATGCGTGGGTCCAGCCCCAGCAGGATCCAGGGGAACCCTCAGGATGAACGGCGCCGGCGAATGAGAGAGAGAGTGAGACAAAGCTCGGGGCTGAGTCTGAGGTTTATTTTTGCACGGCTCCTTTATACCCTTAACAACATCTTTGGGGGAAGTGCATATTGCTTACACACAGGTCATCTCAAAACATTACAGCAACTTGACCTTCAACAGAAACTGGATGTCACCCACATTTTCATTCACAAGAGTCTTTCTTATCATTTGGCCTTCAGGCCTGCTAACATTTTATGGCTTGCACCTGGTGTGACTTAAGCAACTTTAGTAGCCGACCCTGTTTTTCTTATAATTAATCTATTTTCTTTCTAATAAGCTCATCTCTATGGGAACTAGATAGGATTACATTTTTACAGAACAGATACGCGAAGGACTGCAGAAACAGCAGATATGGCGCAAAACAGGCTCTTAGTCTAAAAGCTAATTACCTGCAAGAAGTCGCCAGCTAGTCTCTATCTAAAATATTTTCTATTAGGCACATTTGTGGTTATCATATTTGTGGAGCTGTTCTCACCCCGTGAAGGGGCCTATGCTTAATAGTTTCTTTTGTTAGCGTACTGTGTTTAGGATGTTTAGAACAATCAAGAGCATTTTGTGCAATGAGATCACACATTTATCACACAAGCCAGAATGCCAGCAAAATGTTTGAATTGAGGCATTTCCTTCATCCCTGGCCCCTTCATAGGGCAGCAGCGTCCAGGAGATTTATTAATTAGGGTTTTAAGTTGGTCCTCATTCAGTGAAAGAGGAGCAGGAGCGCTCTCGGCAGGCAACACAGGAATCCGCAGCAGGGCAAACAAGAACAGCAGCAGAAAAAGGGGGGAGGATACAGGGTGGGGTAGAGGCCGAGGCCAACCTGGAGGGTCCCTTATCCTAGACGGCCTTGCCTGTCAGGTTTTTTCCTCGTGATCTCGTCATGGATGGGGTCCCAGACGGCCTTGCCTGCCCGGTATTTTCTTCATGACCTCCTCACGGTCGGGACCTCCCATAACGGCTCCCGGCACATCTATAAGTGAAAATGAAACTAAAAGAGAATAGGTAAACGTCTATGTATTAATATAACTGAATCAAGTTTCTGTACATCTGAAACAAGCACAACATTAGAAATCAATTAAATTCCAATAGAAAATAACAAGGAAATTACAGTTCAAAAAAAAAAAAAAAAAAAGTGCAGCATGAAGAAGTGCTGCCACCTTGTGGCCATTTTCTGTAACAACACCATGAAGAGCTGTGCCGCTGGGCACATTCACAAGGATTCAAAGTCTGCAAGTTAGTTGCCAACTGAAAAATATAGTCACACCTGAAAGTAGAAAGTTATTTTACTTGGTGGGAATATTTACAACTCCAAGCCTGGGAGACGGCATCTCAGTAGCTCTGAGAAAACTGCTCCAAGGAGGCAGGAGGGGGAATCAGGCTATATGCAAGTTTGCAACAAAGGGAGCAGGCAGTCTGAACAGCAAAGATCAGATATCAAGTTAAGGAATTTAGCATTCTATGTATGGGAAGATGCAAATCTCTAGGCTCACTGCATTCATTCCTTTCTTACGCACCTCAGCTATCTGGGGCCAATCCTGTTTCTTTCTTCACCTTGCTTCTTTCATTCCCAGCTCCTCAGGAATCACCGTGTGGGGTGGCAGCATCCGCTGGATCTCAGTTTGGGGAGCGATTTTTTAAAATTTATTTTTTAATTGAAGGATAATTGCTTTACAGAATTTTATGTCAAACCACAACATGAATCAGCCGTAGGTATACATATCTCCCCTCCCTTTTGAACCTCCCTCCCATCTCCCTCCCCATCCCACCCCTCTAGGTTGATACAGAGCCCCTGTTTCAGTTTCCTGAGCCATACAGCAAATTCCCGTTGGCGACCTATTTTACATATAGTAATGTAAGTCTCCATGTTACTCCTGGCATACATCTCAGCCTCTCCTTCCCTTTCCCCATGTCCATAAGTCTATTCTCTATGTCTGTTTCTCCATTATTGCCCTGTAAATAAATTCTTCGGTACCATTTTTCTAGATTCCCTATATCTGCGTTAGAATACAATATTAATCTTTCTCTTTCTGACTTACTTCACTCTGTAAAACAGGTTCTAGGTTCATCCACCTCATTAGAACTGACTCAAATGCATTCCTTTTTATGGCAGAGTAATATTCCATTGTGGATATGTACCACAACTTCTTTTTCCATTCATCTGTTGATGTACATCTAGGCTGCTCCCATGTTCTAGCTATTGTAAATAGTGCTGCAGTGAACAGGATACATGTATCTTTTTCAATTTTGGTTTCCTCAGGGTATATGCCTAGGAGTGGGACTGTTGGGTCATATGGTGGTTTTATTCCTAGCTTTTGAAGGAATCTCCATACCATGCTCCACAGAGGCTGTGTCAATTTACATTCCCACCCACAGTGCAAGAGTGTTCCCTTTTCTCCACACCCTCTCCAGTGCTTATTGTTTGTAGACTTTTTGATGATGGCCATTCTGACTGGTGTGAGATTGCAGTTTTGATTTGATCTCATTGTAGTTTTGATTTGCATTTCTCTAATAATGAGCAATGTTAAGCACCTTGTTTGTTAGCCATCTATAAGTCTTCTTGGAGAAATGTCTGTTTAGATCTTTTTCCCACTTTTTGTTTGGGTTGCTTGTTTTTCTGGTACTGAGTTATATGAGTTACTTGTATATTTTGGAAATTAATCCTTTGTCAGTTGTGTCATTTGCTATTATTTTCTCCCATTCTAAGGGTTGTCTTTTCACCTTGCTTATAGTTTCCTTTGCTGTGCAAAAGCTTTTACGTTTAATCAGGTCCCACTTATTTACTTTTGTTTTTATTTCTGTTACTCTAGAAGGTGGGTCATAGAGGACTTACTTTATGTGGGAGCCCTCATTGACATTTGGAGGCCAGAAATCGCTGATGGCTGTGACATTTCTTGTTTATTAATATGGCAGAAGATATTTTCATTTCACAAAGTAAAAACAACTGCCCTCCTAAGGCATGGAGGAATACCTTAGGGGTGGTCATTGGAAAAGAATTCAAAAGAAGGCAGGTATTAATAAAGCCAGTTTCGAAAGTAAGTATAACTTACACCCTTTCAAATAATCACAAGAAAAGATGTCAACATCACTATTCCGTTCAGTTCAGTCAATCAGTTGTGTCCGACTCTTTGCAACCCCATGGACTGCAACACACCAGGCCTCCCTGTCCATCACCAACTCCCAGAGTTTAATCAAACTCATGTCCATTGAGTCAGTGATGCCATCCAACCATCTCACCCTCTGTCGTCCCCTTCTCTTCCCGCCTTCAATCTTTTTCAGCATCAGGGTCTTTTCAAATCAATCAGTCCTTCATATCCGGTGGCCAAGGTATTGGAGTTTCAGCTTCAGCATCAGTCCTTCCAATGAATATTCAGGATTGAGTTCTTTTAGGATGGACTAGTTGGATCTCCTTGCAGTCCAAGGGACTCTCAAGTGTCTTCTCCAACATCACAGTTCAAAAGCATCAATTCTTCGGTGCTCAGCTTTCTTTATAGTCCAACTCTCACATCCATACATCACTACTGGAAAAACCATAGCCTTAACTAGATGGACCTTTGTTGGCAAAGTAATGTCTCTGCTTTCTAATATGCTGTCTAGGTTGGTCATAGTTTTTCTTCCAAGGAGCAAGTGTCTTTTAATTTCATGGCTGCAGTCACCATCTGCAGTGATTTTGGAGCCCAAACAATAAAGTCTATCACTGTTTCCACTGTTTCCCCATCTATTTGCCCTAAAGTTAAGGGACCGGACGCCATGGTCTTGGTTTTCTGAATCTTGAGTTTCAAGACACCTTATCATGCTCCTCTTTCATTTTCATCTTGAGGTTCTTTGGTTCTTCTTCACTTTCTGCCATAAGGGTGGGGTCATCTGCATATCTGAGGTTACTGATATTTCTCCCGGCAATCTTGATTCCAGCTTGTGCTTCATCCAGCCTGGCATTTCGCATGATGTACTCTGCATGTAAGTTAAATAAGCAGGGTGAAAATATAAAGCCTTGACATACTCCTTTCCCAATTTGGAACCAGACTATTAATCAGAACAAAGCAACCAAGGGATGCTTAACTTCGTCGTTTGGATGAAATGGGATTTTGCTATAGCTGGATGGGATCCCTGTTGGATTACTAGACCCTGTTTCATGACAGAGTAGTAGGTAATCGGCTGCTAAAACTTCAATTAAAAAATGGGAGGATAAGGTGTACATGGCGTCGCCTGGAACCTGAGAGGCTACATGAGGGTGTCAGAGGCCTGGTGAGAGACAATGGCCAAGAACAAACTCAGAGGGCAAAAGTCCAGGAATGTATTCCACATAGCCAGCCAGAGAAGCTTGAAGGTTAAAAATAAAGCAAAACCAGTTACCACAAATCTTAAGAGGATAAACATTGTGAATTATGAAAAAGTTAACAGAGTGAATAAAGCTTATAAAGATATACAGAAGGAACTGGCAAATTTCTAAAAAGGCCTTTCCCTTGAACCTCTGCAGAAACAACTGATATCTCAGCAGTGTCATGAAAACGTACCAGTTAATGTTGATGAGGCTACAAGATTAATGGCTCAGTTGTAATACACCAATGATGCGTCAAATTCCCCCAAAAGACCAATAAACTTAATATTTATACAAAAAAAATGGGAGGATAATACGGACGGCAAAGAATCAAATACAGATGAGAATCCTCCTGATTCTTTTGACTTAGTGCCAATGGGAGGAATGCCTAAAACAAAGATTGCATAACTCTTTCTCCTCAAAAGGACATTTAGCCTCATTGTAACAGATTAATGTATAAATGCTATGGTTATTAAAGAAACAGTAAGCTAATTCTAATGTTCATAATTCTAAAAAGGTGTAATATCCTCACTGAAGGCTTCTTGCTACATGAATAAATAAATAAAGAACACGGAGCCTCCATTTTCATTGCCATGTTTCCATTCCATGTAAGAATACTGATGACATTCATTGTATTCTGTTGTTAGTTTTATAAGATGGTTCTTCAAAATCTTCATACATTTGTAGTGGCCTTGGATTTATTAACATGGTAGAATTGGTTGTGTTATCCTAATGAATTTTGATGAGTGAGTTTGGGGATTAATTCTTTTTTAATATATAGGGTAACTGTTAGTAGTTTTTGGTAATGCAACAGCTATGTCTACTAATCAGGATGCTGAGGTTTGAGTTAAAAATTGTCTTAGGTATATTTCCTTTCTGTAATGATGGAAATACAGGGTAAAATCACAATGCAGGATTTGTTCACATTCACTAAATGATTACAGTCAAGATAAAAATATTAACAGCAATGTAGAAAACTGGAAACCTTACACTTTGCTTGTGGATATGTAAAATAGTACAGACTATATGAACAATAGTTTGGCATTTCCTCAGAAAGATAAAAATATACTTACTGTTTACTTCACCAATTCCATTCTTGGATATAGACATCAATGAACTGAAAACAGATGTTCAAACAACAACTGGTACACAAACATTCATAGCAACATTATTCACAACAGCCCAAAGGTAGAACCCATTCAACAATCCATCAGTGGACACATTAATATGCAAAATAGGGTACCTGCAAAAGCTTCGACAATATTCTACCATACAAAAATTACAGTGAAATGGTGCAGACACTATGCAAGACATTAAAGAAATTCCTCAAAAACTAACAAATGGAATTACCATATAACATGTCAATTCTAATTCAGGTTATGTACCCAAAAGATTTGAGAAAACATGCTGAAAAAAATAAACATATTTCTACACTCATATTCACAACAGCATTATTCACACTGGCCAATAAACAGAAGGAATCCAAGTGTCCATGGACAGACAATTCCATAAACAAACTGTGGTATACACACAGTGGAATATGGTTCAGCCTTTAGAAGTAGGTACTTCTGAAAATGTGGATGAATCTTATAGTCATTTGTTAAGTGAAACAAACCAGACCAAAAAAGGACAAACATTCTGTGATTCCGCTAGTATGAGATAGTGGAATCAACTCAAAGCAAGTCAAATTCAAAGACAGAACAGGGATTAAAAAGAGCTGATGTTTCATGGACACAGTTTCACTTGGGGAAACTGACTTCCCATGACATCTCCAAAACCTGTTACATAAATAACTGGAAACCATATGCAATCAAATGAAAGTGGAAAGAAACGGTACAATTTACACCAAATTCACTCAAACTTCTCAACAGACAAAATGTGAAGCTGTATCTACAGTACCTGTTTTGCTTATGAATTTTAACAAAAAAACTAAAGCCTATCCAAAAAAGGGTATAAAATTTATAACATGACCTTTAAAAAATTAAAGATTTAAACTCCTAAAAGACCTTATTCAGAAAACCTAAACACAAGCCACAGAGAAATACATTTACATAATATGTATCTGATAAATGCTTGTACTCAAACAATACCAAAAAATCTGGAACAAACAACCTCATTAAAGTATAAATGTGAACACCCAGCCAAAGAAAACATACAGATAGTAAACAAACATATAAAAAATACTAATAAATCATATTTCATTAGGAAATTACAAATTAACTACAGTGAAGTACTACTGCACACCTATTAGAACCAGTAAACTCAAAAAAAAAAAAAAAAAACCCCAAAAAAAACCAACCCAGGGGATTCCTTGGTGGCTCAGCGGGAAAGAATCCACCTGACAATCTGAGACTCAACCTCAACCTCTTAGCCAGGAAGATCCCACACGCCACGGAGCAACTTAGCTGTTTTTTCCCAAAGCTAGACAAGGTTCACCTGAGGATTGAACACTGCATGTCTCGTATTTAGAAAACGGCTTTGAAAAAGTCTCCAAACAAAAACTATCATGCAATCATGCACAGCAGCTCTACTTGTGATAGCTACAAGCTTTCAAATATCAGGATGTCTTCCATAGATGACTGTGTAAGGAAACGGATACATCTTAAGTGAGGCAGAGCAAATGCTACCCCAAAATACACCTCTTCAGCATAACAATTATTTGGAGCTAAGCTTTTTTTAAGAGGACACATGATCATCTTTGAAACCCAAGTCAAGATGGTTCTTCAGTGAGTCACATTTACAAGAGAAATCCCCACTTCAAAGGAAGTCTCTATACCAGATAGAAGGAAGACGGTCTTGAGAAACTATTGATAGGAAAGGCTAAGACATAAATCTGCACAACAAACACACCCTTCCTTTCTTGTTTTAATTTTTCTAATATTTATTTTTTTGTTTATGTGGCTGCACTGGGTTGACTTTCCTTAAGGCAAGCCAGATATTTAGCTGCAGCATGCGAACTCTCGGTTGTGGCATGTGCGATCTAGTTTCCTGACCACAGATTGAACCTGGGCCCCCTTCTTTGGGAGGGCAGAGTCTTAGCCCCTGGACCAGCAGGGAAGTCTCTGTTTTGTTTTTAGATGAAGACGGTATCTAAGGTGATATCCTGGGCCATTTCAAGCACTGACTCAATTTCCTGGATTTCTCCAAAGCACACACAAGGCACACATGTTACTAAACTCATCTGCACAAATGAAGGTAGTTCATACCACAACACTGTATGCTTACAATGATTCACATGGTAAACGGCATGTTATCTACTTTTAATTACAATGGGAAAAGAAGAATGCAGTATTGATACATGTTATAACATGAATAAACATGACAAAAATCTTTAGTGAAAAAGTCCATACAGAAAAGGCCACCCAGATCACATATTCACCTTGACTGCTTTAAATCCACAAGGTTGTCCAAATGACTGAAAATTTCAGTAACACTCCAAACCAAAATTAGATGAGGATGGAAAAAAAGATACATGCATACACTTGGACAATTGCTGAAAGTAGAAGTAGGCCTGTGGATTACATTATAAAATGGAAACCATGTGATTTCCTGATTTCAGGGGTTATGTGCTGGTTCCACAGAAGAATGTGCCCATTTTGGATAAACCACATAGAGTATTTTAGGTGATGTGGCAAATATACTTTTTACCATTATTAGGGGTTTTCGGTACATTTTAAATTCAGTGGGATTCATACTACTAGTGTTAGATTTTTTCTGCTTCTTTATACAAAATTAAAAGGCACTTTCTCTTAAAATTCTGTGTTGCCATGAAAATACCTGGTTCCACCCAAACTTAACTTTTCTCAAACCTTGAACTAACCAATGGGTTTTAAAGATCTTCACGACCCAGATAATCACAATGGTGTGATCATTCACCTAGAGCCAGACATCCTGGAACGTGAAGTCAAGTGGACCTTAGGAAGCATCACTACAAACAAACCTTGTGGAGGTGATGGAATTTCACTTGAGCTATTTCCAATCCTAAAAGATGATGCTGTGAAAGTGCTGAACTCAGTATGCCAGCAAATTTGGAAAACTCAGCAGTGGCCACAGGACTGGAAAAGGTCAGTTTTCTTTCCAATCCCAAAGAAAGGCAATCACAAAGAATGCTCAAACAACCGCACAATTGGACTCATCTCACACGCTAGCAAAATAATGCTTAAAATTCTCCAAGCCAGGCTTCACCAATATGTGAACTGTGAACTTTCAGGTATTCAATCTGACACCAGTAGTGTGTTTCCTCCTGCCACTTAAGAGAGAGAGAAAAAATGTCCGACACTTGCAGCCTATTTCCTTCAGTTGGAAATAGTCACTCTCAAAAGCAAACTGCAAAATCCATAAGAACTTTAAAGAAACTGGGGCTCTGTGAAAGGCTGCTTTAGGCTATGCTCTTAAAATCACTGCCTTTGCCAACAGGTGAGAGCAAAGACTCAGCCTCCACACCATTGACAGTTAATCATGCTCATTCTTCGTTGTAGCTGGTGGGGGGCAGGGGGAGAGGCAGAGGGCTGTCCTCTGCATTAAAAGTTTAGCATCCTTGGCTTCCACCCACTAGATGCTGGTAGTGAACACCAAAATGCCTCCAAGTGTGCCAAATGTGCCAACAGTTTAATAATACAAAGAGAGAATTCAAAGTGGAGTTGCACCACATATTAAATTTCATCAAAATGCACTTGCCTTAAAAAAACGAAGGGGGCTATTCGAGGTTTTTTGTATTTCCATACAAATTGTGAAATTATTTGTTCTAGTTCTGTGAAAAATACTGTTGGTAGTTTGATAGGGATTGCATTGAATCTATAGATTACTTTGGGTAGTATAGCCATTTTGACAATATTGATTCTTCCAATCCATGAACACGGTATATTTCTCCATC